TCTCATAGTCGAGCACCTTAGCTTAGAGACACTCTTATTCGTTCTTTACTTCGCATAACTGGCAAATGACAAAAGTTTTCCATTTTTTTCTGCCTTTGTTTTCTTGCGTTGCCATTCGCAACTTTAAGTCCTTATTAAATTGGGTGTATGTGTGTGTGTGTTTGGCTTGGACAACAACAACAATTGACAGCAAAACAAACGATTGTCATTGTCAAGTGTGTGCGTCAACCTTTGAACCCGCCTCGGAGCACGTAGCCTTAAATCGTGTCCAAGCTTCTCTCCATTGCCAACACCCCATCCGGCGCACCCCCGGAGCGAGGAAAATAAGCGCCTGCTGTCATCCTTTTGTGCCAACAAGATAGCTCGCTTTAAATTGTATTGTTAATTTTTGGGTTACCCTTTTTACGTCAATCCGATTTTGGCCCAAAAATGGAAGGAGCTGGCAACTTTTGTTAGGTCCTTTGTGCGCGCTATGCAAACATTGCCTGCCAGTGACAACAATTGTCATTTGCTTAAAATATCCGAGCAACATCGTGCCGCGTCCCCTCATCTGAACTCTTTGGCATCCTTGGAAGGATTCAGTTCGAACTGCAACAGTTTGCGTCAATTGAAACAATGTTATAGCCACAGAACAAGTTGCCTTTAACTCTATCTTGTTCATTTTTATTGTTTTTATTGCCTATCTCTCACTCTATTCTGCACTGCAACATCCGCTTCTATTTGCAGAATTTCACTTCGCCATTTGCATATTCCTGGGGAGCACAGTTTCCTGTTCCACCCCACCTGTTCCCGACTCCATTCCCCCTCTCGCCATCACTGCTTGTAGAATTGTTTGCATGGCGTTGCTCCATTCGCTACCTCAATGCGCATAAATCAAGCGCAAAACACAAATATTTTGCCAGCGACAACAAATATATAATGACCTCTCCGTTCTCTTATCTCCCGTTTATCGTGCACCTGCCCCCCCCCCCCCCCCCACTTCCCCTTTCTCTTTCTCTTCCCTCCATGCACTGCGACTGGCTGGTGGACCCGTCGGCTGCTGAATTTACCGGTCGCATTGACTGCATTCACAGTTATCGCATTTCCTCTTAAATACTCTTCTTTATAAGACTCTTGAACTTCGCCATGGAGCATGTACAAGAAAATACAATAGCTTTGAGGGGTAGCTCTCAGGTTTTATTCTTCATAAATTAGATTACATTTATTATCTTCTTGGGTGGTCTTTTGGACAGCTCCTTGAATTTTATTTGAGGTCTTATTGAAAAAATTCCTTTATATATGTGACTCCGTAGTTTCAATGTTTTATTTAGAGAGTGCATTTGTCTGCTTGCTTTATTCCTTTATTTTTTCGCAATATTATTTGTCGCTGCGGCTGCTCCAGTTTTTTTCCGTAGCGTCGCTGCGGTTTGCGCTTTGCTGATTTCATTTTGATTACGGCAAATTGTTTTTAGTTGCTGTCGTTTTCCGTTTTCCTTTTCTACGTATTTATTTCTATTCCAGCTCTTGGTGAGTTTCAATTGCGGATTTGTGCAATTTTCTGTGCCCATTATTTGCATTTCTTGCATAATCATGGATTATTCATATTATTCTATCAGCGATCAGCACAATAATTACTTTTCCGAGCTGTATATAGAAGCCATACCATTTTCTATGGACATTATTTGTGCCTAATATCACAGTTAACTCCAATGCAAATAAATATGGCGTGCGCCAGCTTTGAGTCCATCAAATATAAATAAACAGTCTTTATTTGCAGTGTAATTTAGGCCAATAACAATGAATATAGTTAAGGTAAATGACTTATGCAATTGATTATGTATATACTGGACATTTCGAGGCGCCATATTAAAGGTGGTAAGTGCGTTAAAGGTAATATCATTAGCGAGTGCTGATCGACTATTTTATACCTTGCACAGAGCTCTAGAATATCAGATTAACTCGCTTATGTTCAGGCCCCTGCGACTTCTGATTTGCATAAGCATTTACTCGAGCGTTTTGTAGTGAACAAAAAGCACAAATACCAGCAACTTTTTTAATTTTCACAAACGCTCGCATAACAAAAGAATTCGACGAGGTCACTAGGCACGTGCAGGAGTTTTCAAAATGGCGACCAGGACAACAACAACAAGAACGGCAACCAAATTAGTCGTTGCGAATGCAGTTTTTGTTCTGTTTCATCCTTTTTGTTCGCTTGTTGTTTTGTCCTGATTTGATGCTGGGTTTTTAGTGCCACTTATTGAAGCGAGTTATTTTCGCTGGCCCATCGTCAGCTTTTTGGCGCACAAGTTTTTAATGAAATCAAATTAAAATGCATGCGGCCCTTCCTAAAAAATAAAAACGGAAAGGAAACCCTTTTGGCAACGATGAAGTGCTGCTGCTGTGGCAACTCTGGCAGCCAATGGCAGCCTAATGAGCAGCCAACTTCACTTTAGCGTTCACTTCATTTTAATTTGCGTCTGGTTTTTGCCCTTTGCCAGAGTTGCCAGTCTGCATTTCTGGTTTTCTACTCCTTCTGCTCCATCCATTCCACCTCATCATTCGCAAACGCTGCGTTGTTGTAATGCAAATTGGTATTTGCTGCGTCTCGCATTTTGTGTCAGCTGTCAAGTTGACATTTTTCATTCTCTATGCATTACTGTAGTTTCAAATATCAATTTTTAAGAGCTGACAAATTGCAGTGAAATGCGTTGCAAATTGAAATGAAATGTGAAGGGGAGTTGTGGGCGTCGCCTCTATCAGCAATCAACTAGGCAAATTACTGTGTGGCCCAATCCCTATGACGGATGTGTGTGTCTACATTAATGTGAGCTTACTTATGTCATATTCATGGCAGACAGGCACACATGCCACGCCCACGCACACGTGTGCAGTAAGCACGCTTCGATTAAACAAACCTACTCAAATATGCAGTGACATTGAGGCAAAGACAAAAGCCTAGCGTCACGGCAGCGCAAGCTGTGTGTGTGTGCGTCTATAAGGCAAGGGCACGCACACACACATAGTTGCAGCCGATGGCAAAGGTCAGAGACAGTTGCATAACGTAAAAACAGGACACGGATGCGACTGCGGCTTCTTTGTGTTTGGCTAATTAAAAAAATAAAGCTGACGCCTGCGATTGCATAAGCCAAAGCCAAAAGGGGCAAAGCAAGCAGCTGTATGCGTTTAAACGTGTGGATGTGTGTGTTGCAAAATGTCAACGCAACGCATGCAACATGGACGACGCTCAAGGATATGCACATAAACAAACAAAAAATGAAGCCTGTGTGTGTATATGTGTGTGTAGCGCTTGCGTAACGTAAAAGTAGCCTTGAACTGCAGCCTGTCGCTTTCAATGGATTTGCATTCCATGCGCTGCTTACACACACACACACACACACTACCAAGGTCACGCCAACGCCAGCCGCAAATGACAGTTGGAGTGAGCGGGAGCGGCAGAGGGTTATGACATTCACAAGGCATTAAACGCACACACATGCACTGTCAAGCCGCAACCGAAATGTCAGAAAACTGTCGCGAAGTTTTGCCTAATTGACGCTCAAACGAATGCAGCGATAAAGACAGAGAGAGAGAGAGCCGTAAAGCAACAAAAACAGCGCACTATCAAATGCAACTGTGCAAGCCAAAAGGAGCGCACAAATCTCGTCATTCAATGCGTTCGTTCTGTGCAATATAATAACGGTTAAGCACGCAAAGGCAAGCAGCAGGCCGCGGCGATGGCACAAAAACAAAAACTCAAAAAGCAAATGTGCAAGCAGGGCAGGCAAACGAGCAAAGCGAAACAACAGTTGGATAATGACGTCAAATGAAACGCAGAGAGTCGGCGAGAGCGAGACAGGGATACCCGACGAAACCCGCTTAAGAGGGTTGCCAGATCAACAGCAGCAGCAGTAATAGGAGCAAAAGAGGGTTTGTATCTTTGGCAGCTATAAATAACACGAATGCTTAACTATTTACATATTAAATAAATACTCATTTGTTTTATATATAGTATATATTATGCATATTAGATGGTCTCGCATTGCCCGAAAAGTCAGACGCTTGCCAATCAGTCAATTAGATAAAATACACAACACTCACACTCACAAATTCGCATATATGCTAATAGCTTGAGTTTGCCTTTGAGTCACCCTCGCACACAGACACACACGCAACTCTGGCATCTGAACGTGTAACTGGCGCTGCCCGGCGAGCCATTTAATGGCCTTTTCGCTTTTGCTTGCCGCTCGCACACACACACACTCACATACAGAATGGCCCCCTCTAGCCCAGGAAACCCCTTAGAAATCGCTATTTGGTTATGCTGGCAGCTCTTTCATTTTTTTTTTTCTGCTTCTCTTTTTCTCTTTAGTATTGCGCGTTGTGTGCAAGTTGGTCATAAAAATGGAGTTACATTTATGACCCACATCAGGAGCACACAGATAGAAACGAAACGCCAAATGAGTTGGCCCCGGGAGTAGGGCGCGGGGAAGCGTGGGGCAGAGCGCTGCAAATATTGCGAGCGCTGCGTGTCGGTGGGCGTGTGTTGTCCCCTGCCACCGCTCTCGCCTTCAAGCAAGCTACATTCACAAGGATATTTTATTTTACTGTTATTTTTGTTTGCCATTTTCACTGTGTACGCTTTGTTATTGTGTTTCCCTCTTCCTTCGGCATTTCGGTGGCCATTTACTTTTGACTCCAGTTACACCCTTTGCTCTTTTCACAATTGTTCTTGCATCTTCTTCTACTTCTAATTCTACTTCTTCTTGTTCACCAAATTGCCGCGGTTTTTTCTTTGTGTCTAGAACTTGCCTGTGCCGCGCGGCCTCTGTTTTCGCCGCCAAATCGCCGTTAACTCGCCGACGACGCCGACGTCTTTGCTTGTTTGCCGTATAAATTTTCAAGGCTAAATATGCGTATTGGATTTTGTTGAGGTGCACAAGGATTTGCGTGTCACACACACACAAAAACACACACATGCGTGAGTATATGGCAACTTAAACTTGTGCCTGCAGTTAACTTACCCCTTGTTCCGCTTCGGTTTCTGCTGCTGCGTCTTTGTTCATTAAATATGCAGCACAATTTTGCATGCGCATGCAAGCGCCGCCATTTAATCTTGCGCCCGCCGCTACCCCCGCGCGTCTTTCGCACACTGACCCAGTTCGCTTTGTTTTGCGTGTTTATCTTGCACACGTTTCTATGCTATGCGGCTGCTGTTACCGCCTGTTGTTGTTGCTGTTGTTGCACTGCTTCTTCAGAGTGCTGTTGTTGCCTTTTAAAGGCAGCTCTTTTTTTTGATATGCATGCAATGGGTAAAACTCTAAGTAACGGGAACTACATTTCTATGTGTTGTACTTTTGCATATCTTTGCTTTTAAAAGGCAGTTTTTCCTTATCTCATTTAGACTCTCAGTAACGCGAACTGCAACGGTCACTATTACAGTGGGCGTAAATTGTTTCTTGGTGCCTAAAGCAGGCGGCTAGATTTCAGCCCCAAAGTATGCGACATTAAATTGATTACACTTTCACCGTTTCTGTCACTCGCTTTACGCTTTCTTTTCCTTTCTATGCACTTAACCCGCTCGTGTGCATTTTTTATGCGCTTGTTTTCCCATTGTGTTGCTAATTTCGTTACTTTCACTTTGTTAGGCTTTCGCCTCGTCTGCCTGTGCGTGTATGTGTGCACTGCTGTGTCTGTGTGTTTGAGTGTGTGTAAGCACACGTGTGCGTGGCTGCAGCCAGTTTCGTTTACTGTTACTGTGTGTGCGTGTGTGTATCTGTGCGTCGTCAGTTTTCGTTATTCAACTTTTGGTAGCGCATTGATTTTTCACTTAACTTTAATTTGTTGTTGCTTTAATTAAAATAATTTTTTTGTTTGCATTTCTTAACGCCATTTATCGTGGAACTTTTGTTGCGCGTTTTTCATTTCGTTTTGATTGCTTTTCATTCCAGTTTTGCGCGCGCTTGCTTAACGTTCGACGTGTCCGTCTGTGTGTGAGAGTGTATGTAGCAGGTGGATAATAATATAGTTTGCTCGATGCGGTCCACGGTCGCAGCGCACGTCCGTTCGCCACGACTCTTCACACATTTCTGAGAGCGCGCGCTTCAAAAAATGTTTACGTTTGGCTTCCTTTGCACACCTCACTATCTCACTCGCACACTCTCTGAGTCTGTGACTTTGCAATTGGCTTTGCTTTGCTTTGCGTGCGCTCTCTGTTTTTGAGGAGTATTGGAACTGAGCAAGCGGCGCCAAAATGTCTACGCATAAATAATACGCACGTGGCTTGTTGGGCCAGAGAAGAGAGGCAGAGTAGATGCAGGTCTAAGATTTACTCTCACTGCAAAGTAAATCCTTGCAGGCAGGTGCGTGAGTTAAAGTGAGAGAGGCATATATGATAAGCCATGACGACATTGCACGTACCTAACAATGGCTGAAAATTTTTAAACAAATACAAATCCTTTTGTGGAAGTTTACTTGAAAAATAAATTCAGGAATTTCTATAGCATGTGCGTCAATTAAAGTTTTATTATGACATTTTGGATATAATTTGTATAAGCGAAATCGCAATTAAATTTACAAATTAAATAGTTTTTGAAAAGCCAGTTGTTTCCATAATTTAATTGGTTTACTATTTATGGAATTTTATTTTTGTTCTTTTAATACGAATTTTTCATATTATTCTTCAGCCTACTATGCCTTATTCATTGTATTCCATACAATTATAACTGTAAACAAATCGCAGGAGAGAAATTCCGATGCAAACACACATATATTTGAATTGCGAAGCGCTCTCTCTTTCTCTTTTGCCTTTGTTTTGGCTCATGCGCTCTCTGACATTCGCTCAATGCGCAGCTTCTTAATGTCTTCTTTGGCTGCTGCCCTCTGCCGCTGCCACCAATGCCAACAACTTATGCTTCGCTGCCGCTGCCGCTGCTGCTGCTGCCGCATGCGGAGCACGTGAACTTTTGTGTTTACTTTTTAATTTTCTTACAGCTCGCAGGCCTTATTGTTGTTGTTTTCCCTGCTGCCTGCTGCCTGCTGGCTCTGCCAGTGTCTGTTGCTCGTTGCTTTTGTTTTGCTTGCTAGCGCTGTGCTTGTTTTGCATTGCATTTCCATTCATGGCATCAAAGTCGAATTTCTGTGAGGTTAGGTTGAGCACTGAGAACCATGCCAACTGCCTTACCATTTACTTAGCCAGCGATCGACATGGAAATTGGCGCAAAATATGCCCCAGTTGGGTCCCCAGGCGGTTGTATGCTTATGTTGTAGCTGACTGGTGCCTGCTTATTCTGTTTCTGCTTCTGCTCCTGCTTCTACTTATGCTAGCACATTTTGGGAGCCCAGTTGCACTTTGCATATGCTAGAAATGCTGCTGTTGCAGGTGTGTGTTTCTTTGACTGAGCGTGTGTGTGTGTGCGCTCGTGTTTGTGTGCTGGCGTTTTACATTTTCTTGAATCATGTTAAATCATGTATGCTGATTGCCCTGCGGTCTCAAGGATACCGCAATACTGCAGACAGCTCTTGGCTGCATGCTGATTTGCATCCAATTTTTATCTTCTTTTTCGAAAAGTTTTGTATTAAATAGAAAAAAACTGCAGCACTGTTAGGGACACAGGGCTGCCAATTAGTAAATGTACAAACCGCATCAAACAGATGCAAATCGTGCAGCGTTGCCAGAGTTTTGCCAAAATACGGTAAACAAAGGCTTTGATTTTGGGCAAACGAAGTGCATGATAAGCAAATAAACAAATGCTGCCTGCCAACCGATGCACACAACAATGGTCAGCATCGATGGAGCGGGTGGTGGCGGGGGTGGCGGAGGTGGTGTCTACAGCAACGGATATGCTGGCCGTAACTCATATTGCCGACCCCCCATTGCCATGAGTAATTGCTGTTGTGCATGCGCCACTGTCTATCTGTCTGGCAATACCCACAACGACGCTGGGTGTGTGTATGTGTGTGTGTGTGCGTGGCTCACGTAGCGCCCACCACATCAAGGTAAACTGTTGATTTCATGCGACGCTTTGCGGTCCAACCAGATCCCAACCAAACCCTGCTGACAATGCGCACCGGCCAGCGCCGTATGCCAAATGTCGCATGTGTGTGTGTGTGCGTGTTTGTGTGTGTGTGCCTGTGTGTTTGCATATTTTGCTGAGCTGCTGCGGTTCATAATAACATTAGCAGCAACTAAAAGCTGAATGCTAAAAGGTCAACAGTCGTGCGACAAATGCAATGTTAAAAAAAAAACCTTTTTACACTCAGCCCCCTCGCCACCCGCCCTCCCCCCTTGCTAGCATGTTGTATGCTCCTGTATGGCATGCAAATTTCAGCGAACAGCTTTGAGTGCTGCCATAAAATGTGACAAAATGGAGTCGTTGCTTTCGGGCGCAGCAAAGTATGCTATGAAAAATGTAAAACAGAAAGCATGCACACACACACACGCACACACACACACACAGAGAGCTGGTGTAAGTTTGACTGGTTTATTTTCGTATTGAGTCGATAATTTAATGTATGTACAGACACTAGGGAATAGACCCCAAAGGGTTGATAGCAGTCACCCAAAAATACAAAAGGCCACGGGATGAACCCTTTTTTCTTTGAGTGGGTGGGAATTTGGGGCATGGCCTTAATATAGAATTTGCACAGCCGAGAAAGCATTCATTTCACTGACCAATACAACACACTAAATAGTGTTTAACAGTTGTTGTTGTCGTTGTTGTTTCTGCGAGTATTTCTGCTCCCAGCATCTCTTCTTATCTCTTTAAGCTATACTAAGCTGTTTTTGAGCCTTCAAATCTGGAATACTTAAATAGATATTTAAATATCAAATATAAATATATGGATTCTGTGTGGATAAGTCATGTACAAATAGGATATCTGCTCTGAATTTCCCTTGCCAAACAAATGTACAGTGCAGTAGCAGAAAACAGGCTCTGGCAATGAAATGGAATTGATTTATATTTAGAGAATAGATTAAGAGCATTAAAATAATGCGCTGATAAGTGTGCTATATAATATATATATATAGATAAACTTCATTCATTTATATCGGCTCTAACGCTTTTATTGAATTTATAGCATGTTTATTTTTCCTGTTCAATTAAAAATTAATGTTTTTAATAAAAATTTAATTATTTTTATAGACCAATTTTAAAGGCAATTTAAAAAATAAACATTTCACGGGCTGCCGCACATTAAATACCCTCTGGACATGTAAAAAAGCTTTGCGATATATTTATATAATTGGAAATAAAACTCGATTCCAAAGCGATAGTTCAATTGGATCAATGTGATATAGTATGCTTTTGTTATGGGGATCATAGTGAGGCTCGTAACTGCCAAGTTTGAGATATCTTAAGATATCTGGATGCCCGATAAAGTTGTTCATAATAAAACTTAGAGGGTTTTAACTGCAAGAAAAGTTGTCCAAACTTTGGTCCAAAATAACAAAAGTGTATTAAAAATGTCGCCTGCATTTCAGTCTAAAGTCTGCGCTAGTTGTGCGGCGTGTGGCACAAAGCCAACCGCAGATTGTAATTAATTGAATTTATGTGATGTATGGTCCTTATATCATGTGTGCATGCTCGTGTGCATGTGTGTGTGTGCCCATTTAGGCGAATAAACATTAATCCCATATGCAAATTGGAATCAAATGCAGATACTGTTCAAATTAGCGACTAATACGGAACTAACCGCAGACTAAATAACTCATGCACAGCCAAAAATGTTGCTATAAATGCGATTCCCAACGGTTTTCAGCTAAAAATATAACCTTTGGCATACAATTTTATTATTAAACTCAATATTATAAGCTATATAGCTTACAATTATTAATGGAAATTGAATCTAAAATTGGTTTGCGCCCAATTTCAATGCTATTTTCATGCCAGTTTTATGTGTGTGCATTCATAATTATAATGCAAAAGTACAAATTTAATGCGCTTGTAGATATTTGCTTTACGGCTTTGAGGATGTGTGTGAAAATAAAAATAATGCTGAGTTTGGTGAAAATATGGCGGAAAAAGAAATATTTCATATTTCTAGCGATGCTTCCTGTAGAGCTATATTAATCTAGAATCGCGATCTTGGTCCGAATCTATAGTGGTCCGAATGTGGATAGAATTTGTCATATTTGCAGAAGAGAGGAGAGTAGAAATCTTGTAAACTAACTAAGTTTTTCATATAAGAACTTAATTTTCGACCGATTGTTCTTAAGGCAGCTTTATGATATTGCATTCCGATCCGGTCTGTTTCGACAACTATGCAAGGTTTCAAGACGATGGCTTTAAAATTTAGAGACTAGTTCACATAGAAACAGACAGACGAACGGACGGACATGACTTTATATAAACTTAGCTGTTGATGCTGATATAGAATATATACATATATTTTACTAAGTCGGATTTGTATCCTTCAATGCGTTACACAAAATTTGATACATTATAGAAAGGTATTAAATTGTGTAAAATAATAAAATCTATTTAATGTTAATGTTTATTTATAGATAGTTACCTAATTTTCTTAGCCAATGTGTATTAAATGCTCGAAGAGCCGCAGCTCGTCTAAATTTAAAAGCTGTTAGAGCTTTTATTTTTGTTTGCAACACGACAATATTTGTAACAGTGTATATATATAGATGTGTTGCTTGTAGCTCTAACCAATTCCTTGCCCCCCGCAGCTGCCAGGTAATACAGTTTTTTTTAGAAGCTGCCGCCGCAGCAGTTTAGAGATTACGCAATCAGCTTGTCAGTTGGCATTTGGCTGTTTGTTTTGCATTTGCAGCGAGTGCCGCTACGTGCCGCCCGGGGGTCAGAGGTTGGCAGGGGCAGGGGGGCGGTGGCACAAGATTGTCACTTGAATATTCCATGCGTGATCGATGCACACGGCACGCGGAGCAGACGCTGAAGCTGTATCAGAAGCTCTCCTGGGCTAGAACATGAAGCCAGCGGAATTGAATTTAGTGCGCGGCATCTTGGCACTACCCTCACCCTTTCAACTGAGTCTCGGGGGCAACATTAATGTCAATTTTGATGCCTGATTTATGGCAACGCATTTGGGATGTCGTGTCACGGCCGCATGACTTCATTTGAATTCAATTGGCTGGCTGCAAAGATGCGGCACTGATTTACCAAGAACCAAGCTGAGGAATGCGATGAAATAATTCT